CTCCAGGCAGAGGCCAGGGCACTGTCCTGGACCCAGCAGCTTCAGAGGCCACTAGAGACCTTGGCACTGTGTCCCTCTTCTTGTATACTCATTCTCTCTCTCTCTGACTCTGGTACCGGGAATCGAACTTGGGATCTTGGGCTTGTGAGGTAGGCGGCGACACCACTGAGCTAAATCCCTGGCTACTCATTCTGTTTTGAACATTTCCTTCCAAGTCATGGAGCCAGGGAGAGGCAGAAGGAAGCCTCACCTCTAAGGTGTGGCACCCTGAGTCTCCCACTAGTCCTTCTCCAAACTTGTGCCAGCAGTGAGGGATTTGGAGAGTAGATTTCAGCTCAGTAGGGCTCGGACACTGGTCTGGGACTGTCAAAGGGGCTGGAAGCCATTGACGAGGAAAGCTGTCCCATTTCCCAGACAGCCCTTTACAGCTATGCTTGACCCCAGAGGGTTGTGCAACATGTAACGCTGCCCATCTGCTTTTTCCTGCTGCTCTAACTTCTCACCTTGCTGTCACCGGCCTGCTGGCAGAGCACCTACAGGGAGCAGAGTTCTCTGGTAAGAGGGCCAGAGGTCCAGGGTCCTGGGAAAGGCCAGCCATGCCCTTTCCCATCTCCCACCTTCTTTCTCATTTTTCCCTTCTCATCCCCCTACTCTCTTGATTTTCCTAAATGTAAGAAGGATGACATTCTCCAGGAGAATCTGGTGAGTGTATTCTGTGCACATGTCACACATACTGCTTGTCAGGCTGTACTAGGCTTAGAACAGACATGTGTCCTTGTCCTAGGGGGTGTAGAAGGGGCACACATTTCAGTTGGGTGGAATGAGGTGGAGGAAGGCAGACTGAGTCCTGGAGATCCTGGTGCTGACACAGACTGGGGATGCTTTCTGCTTCTTGATGAAGTGTTTGGGAGACATAAAGATAAGAAAGAATGGAGAATTCCACCCAGACTGTGAAGTGAGGGAGTTGTCTCTACTGCTTGTCCTCTGCCCCCACTTCCTCAGGAGTGGGTGTGACTTCCTCTCCCAGTGCCACCATAGGGAAGTTTAAACTCTGCCTCTGAAAGCTGGATAACTGAGTCAACTACAGTAAACCAACAATAGGCCGATTAACAGGAGAAAAAGTATACACATCGATTAATGTGCACATGTAGACAGGAAATACACAAAATAAACTCAAAGAAGAGCCCAATGGTTGAGGCTTAAACATCCTTTTCATAGGAGAGAGGGAGATGGTGGAGGGGAAAGGAGTAATCTGTAGAAGTAAAAGATTTTTAAAGGAGATGGATAAGCTGAAGAACAGATTATGGCCAGGGACCAAATTCCTCTGGGTGCTTGATTTTCAGTCACTTCCTCTGTGATGGAAGTTTAGTCTTGGTTAATGAAGTTTCAATAAAATGATTGAAAGCAATTCTGTTCCTCTTTGTCAGATCTGGTCTTTAGGTAGAAAAGGAACTTCAGAGAAAGTTTCTCCCTGTGCTTTGGGAGAGAGAGGATAGAGAGAAAAGGCAGGGGCCAGGGATGCAGAAGTCAGAGGCTTTGGGGCTGTAGGTCATTGGTTCAGCATGTCATATTGTCGTACTTTAGGGCATACTCAATTTCTGACCTCATAAACCCACCCCATCCTGCATTTCTGTTCTCATCACCTCTGCTTTTTGCTGCAGTAATTGTTCATTCCAATCTGCAGGGTGATTTTAAAAATGCACTTGATCTTTGTGTTTGCTGGCCCAGAGCTTCAAACACCCTCGGCACATCCTGAGTGCTGGGAGTGTCTTTTGGTTCACAATGAGGCCATTTCCACCATACCTGGGTTTGGGCTAATGAGGTGACTCATGGCAGCCCTTAGACTGTGGCCACACCAGAAAGACTGAGCATGTGATCTGAGGGCTGGTAATGTCCTTACCCTACTGCATTCTGGACAGGAAAGGGCTGTAGATTGAGTTCGTCACACGGTCTGTCCATCACAGCCACGGAATACAACCCCGCATAAAAACTCTGGGCATGGAAACTGAGAGGAGCTACCCAGTTGGTAAACACAGCAAGTCACCTGATTCCATGGAGAGAAGGCGCCCACAAGTCCTCCTCCCATAACCTGCCCTCTGCGTGTGTTCCCTTTGGCGTTCATGAGTCATATTTTATAACAGAACTGTAACTGTCACGGCAGTGCTTATGGTGACTTTGGTGAGTCATTCGGGCAAACTATCGCATGTTGAGGGGAGTGCCGAGAACCTCCAGATTGGTAGACGAAGTACGAAGAGCTCAAGGACCCCACTTGCAACTGATGTCTGAGCGAGGGCAGTCTTCTTGGGGACTTTGCCCTGCAGCCTGTGGGATCTGGCACTCTCCGCATGGTTACTATCAGAAATGGCCCTGAGTCGAATTGCAGGGGAGCCGGATTGGTGGCCGAGAATTGGTGTCAGAATGAACAACCAAACAGGCCAGTTTGCTCTCTCACTCTGACCCCTTCTCCGGCCCCAACATTTCTCTCGCCTCCCATGTTGCCCTGCCAGCTAGCCTCAATTTTTCCAAATTTTTTCTCTCTTCTAAGTGCCCCTCTTCCACATGGTCCCAGCAGGACTGTCCTGGGACGTATCAATCTGTACCTCCTATTGAGGCAGTATATGTGTTTCAGAAGTGGAACTTGGGGACCTGAAAAGCATCCTGGACAAAGCTATTGCTCATCAAGTGCCCCTTGCCAAAGAGACGGAAAGGCTGCATTGGAGGTGAGGAAGGCACCTGGCTGAGCTGAGCCTTCCTTGAAGATAAAACCCCTCTTCCTGCCTCCCCAGCTGTCTCCTTCCAGCCTCCATACTCTGCTTCCGGTCTGCTGTGGGAAGGAGCATCTTGGGATGGGCAGGGTCAGGACTCTGGCTCTGCAGCTCCCAGCACCATTGGCCTTGGCAGCAAACAGAAGTTGGCATTTTCTGTACTGTGACTGCCAGGGCCCACCTAGGCCAACCGACACCCACCATCTTATGTGTACACTTTCACATATGGGTGCACACACACGCACACACACACACACACACACACACACACACACACACACACGCAGAGCAGCAGGCCAAGCCCAGGTCTGCTCCTTTTCGGTGCAGGTAGAATCACCACACATGGCCTAGTCTGGCGTTCTTCATCTCTCCCTTTGCTTTTTGCCAACCCTGGACTTGGCAGGGCACAGCCATGGAGGTCGAAGGCACGTTCGACCTTTTACCACATGTTCCCTTCTACCATACCCCCGCACCCCCCACTTCTACCTGGCCCTGAAGCTGCCTAGAATTGAAGGGGCCTAGAATTGCAGCTCCTTTCAAAATAGCTCAGAGCCCATTGACCCGGGGAGTCTGGCGAAAGCCAGAAAGCAGTGTGAGCCTCAGAAAGGGGCTGACAGCCTCAGAAAAGGCCTCAGACAGTGTAAACGTGGAGATGAACTAGGTTTTTCTTCCTAGGGGCTGCTGAGGCCTGCAGGGCAAATGTAGAGAGTTTCAGAAGAGAGAAAGAGGGCACTAGGAGGTCTGGGGCTTTTCCCACATGGCTGCCTACCAGGCATTGCTCTCAGCACTGGTCCTAGGTCTGGCCTCAGGAAAAGCATGGCTCCTTTGGGCCTCCACCTTGGCTCCTTCCAGGTTCCACCTGCTCCCAAGGCCTCTCAGCACACTGTGGGTCCTAGAGAGACAGATGTCAGCCCTTGATACTGTCAGGGGAATTCCCACGGACTTGGCATGGGAATTCCCACCATGGCTGACTGGCTAACAGTCCATCCGAAGCTGTGCCAAGTGTTAGCTGTAACTGCTGAGAAAGTTCAGGGATGCCACCCCAGATGTGTCGCTTTGGGGCCCTGGTCACGTCACACTGAAGGCCCCTGGGGCAGCAAAGTTCAGTTTCTGTGAACTTTCTTGTGTGTCTAAGGATAAATCCTCCAAAAGGAGCTTAATCGTCATAAATCCTCCCTCAAACCCATCACCAGGGAAGATTAACAGTATCACTTTGGCCAGGGATTTAGCTCAGTGATTCTGCCGCCTGCCTCAAAAGTGCAAGGCCCAGAGTTCAATCCCTGGTACCAAAAAACCACCACCAACAAAAAAAAACCCCAAAACAGTATCACTTGAGTCTGGAGGTGACCCCACACTCAGACAGCCTTTGTTTCAGCCGGTCACATGTGACAATTCATCTTTCCTCCTTCTGGGACAGTTCATCTTTTCTCCAAACCACTCACTCTCCTCTAAACTGCTTGAACCCTCAACTTGTATGAGGAGGGTATGTAAGCGTCTAGATCTTACTGGGTTATTTTTTTCCCATGGTGCCCCCAAGTGAGAATGGCGATCATCCAGAAATTAAATGATAACACATGCTGGAGAGGCTATGGGGAAAAAGGAACCCTTCTACATTGCTGGTGGGAATGTAAACTCTTACAACCACTATGGAGATCAATATTGGGTTTTTTGGCTTGTTTGTCTGGGTCTTTTTGAGACAGAGCCTCACTATGTAGTTCTAGCTGGGCTTGAACTCACTATGTAGTCCAGGCTGGCCTCCAACTCACAGCAATTCTCCCGCCTCAGCCTCCTGAGTGCTGAGACTACAGGTGTGCATTGCCATGCCTGGCCTCACGATGGAGCTTCCTCAAAAAACTAAGACCAGAAATTCCATTTGATCCAGCTACTTCCCTTCTAGGTATCTTTCCAAAAGAGTTAAAGACATCATATTACAATGACACATGCATACTCATGTTTATAGCAGCACAATTCTAAATCTTGGCAGTAGCCTATATGTCCTTCAACAGACGAATGGATAAAGAAAATGTGGTTATTTATATACAATGGAGCACTACTCTGCCATAAAGAAGAATAAACTTTGAGTCGGTTGTAGAAAAATGAGTGCACCTTGAGACCATAATGTGAAGTGAAATAAATCAGAAACACAAGCTTAAACATCACAGGTTTCTCTTATCTGAGAAGCCCAGTATAAATAAAGAGCAAAATAAAAGATAATAGGAAGTAGGGAGTTAGATCTTTCTCAAATGGAAGGAGATCAAGAGATAGAGGTGGGGAGAGAGAGGCGGGAAAGGGGATAAGGATAGAATGGAAGTGTGCCGAGTGCACGTACGGACAGACTCCACCCGAGGAACGTAAACAGTATGTACTAAAACACGTGCAATAAAAAAGGAAGAAATTGGTACTCCTCTTCTCCTGTTAATCTGCCCACTGTTAGTTTATTTCACAGACTCAAGTGTCAAACCCTTGGAGGGTGGAGGGAGATTTTCCCCCTCTACACTGGAATGCAAGGCTTAATTCCCAGTTACAGGGATTCTAAGGAGCAGCCTCACTGGGATGCAGAAGTGGGAGGGGTGGAACCTGTCCTTCCCAGCTGTCACTGTACCCCGTTATCTGTTCTCCAATGTGTCTGCTCCCCCAGTCCATTCCATCCGCACGTGTGTGAGATGGAAAAAATGACCTCTGAGTGTCAGTTGTGGTCCCTGCTGGGCTCCCATCCAGGCTGACCCGGGGGCAGGTGTGAGTCCTCTGTCCCCAGGGCTTCTGGAGGGACAGTTTGTTTTGCAGGGCTGCAGCCAAGAAGGAGAGTGAAAGCCTCCCGCACAGCCTTGGAGCCTCACACGGCCACTTCCAGCTGCCCGGGCTCCTCAGGGGCGAAGGAGATGAGCGCTGACACCACCACACCAGTACCAGCACTCCCAGGCTGTCCTGCCTCTGCCAGCCAGACCCTTCCAGGGATGTGGAGGAGGGCTGCATGCCAGGCACAGGGTCAGCCTCGAAGCTCACCACCACCCCCGCCTCCCGCTCTAACAGGGCCCTGTCCCTGAATGTGTTTCTTCATGTCTGCCCCATCTTCCTCTCAGGGCCACTCCCCTGCACCCTATCTCTGGACCCCCTCAGTCCCTTCTCTTCCCTGGGCCTCTGTCCAGAGTGAAGACACCCCACTGCTGCGGCAAGAAGACAGGCCCTGGCTTCCCCCTGCCTTCTCCTGCAGTCTGACAGGTCACCTCATCTGTTCTGTCTCCTCTTCAAGATCTATAATAGGGATGAGGAGTGGTGGCACATACCTATAATCCCAGCATTCTGGGAGGCCAAGGCAGGAAGATCACAAATTCAAACCCAGTCTGGGCAACTTGGCAATTTAGCCAGATCCTGTCTCTTTATTAAAAGAATGAAAAAGGCTAGAGATGTAACTCAGTGTGAGGGTCCTGGGCTCAATGCCCAGTACCACAGACACACACACACACACACACACACATATACCTTAGAGACAGGACGCTTTGCCTCCCTAATGACTGCCTCCTACTTAAAAAGTATGTCCCCTAGAACAGAGCTTGGAACTGACTCCTTTGCAAGAGCACAGTAAATCCTCAGGGATGGGTCTCTCATGTTCCTGCCTGCACTGAAGTTGGTTCACCCAGACCTGGGATGTCAGGATGGAAAGAGAAGGGTGGCCTGGCCCCAGTCCCCAGAATACCACAGTCCTGCTGCCTCTTTATGACACAGGGAGGCTGCCCTCACCTCCAGCTTGGGGTCTGGGCATGGAGTCTTTGCAATGGGGTGGCCAGGCTCCATCTCTCTTCTGTAGCTCTTTTCACCCCAAACCTCAGGCAGAGCCTGGGCTCCCTCTCCAGGGGCCTGAGTGGGTGGAGAGAGCAGCAGTCTGTGCTCTGAGCCCAGCTCTTCCCTGCATTGTGAAATGGCCTTGGATGAGGGCCAAGCAGGAAGCCACCTCTAATCCAGGCCTGGCGCCTGGGGTGTGAAGGCGCCCCAAGCTCTTCCCTTCCCCAGAGGGCTGAGGCTGAGCTGCCAGCCCACCTGCCAGGAGACTGCCTGGGCCACACACCTCCTGTCCCGGCCTTCGGGACATTCTGAGATGTGTGGGCCTGCAGCTTAGGCCTTCCAGCCTCTACTTTGTCACTTATGAGTCCTGGGACCAGGACTGAGTTGCTTCTCCTCTCTGGGCCCCACATAGTTTTCTTACTCATGACCAACTAGAAGGTAAAAGTTGTGCGAAGAAGATCTCACAGCTCTCTTCAGCTGGACAAGGTGACTCACCGAGTCAGTGACTCACTGACGTTGTCCTAAGGATGTGGCTCTCATCAGACAGGAGTCTGATGCTCATGACTAAGTTTCCCCACACAAATCTGCATCCGTTGGTCCATCTCACAGGTGGGGCGGGCCTCCCGGGACAATCAAGGATGAATAATGTCACAGAGGCCAAGAGAGGTTGCTTCTGGGAATTAGGACACCTGTGTATTTTGTGTGGAAACTCTTGACTATATATGTTCCTGTCCTTGCCTTTGAGGCAGGACATTTTAAATTTGGGACCCCCTAATCATTATGAATAAAGGCGTCCCCTCTTACCAACTCAGCCCATGAAAGCAGAGGGAGAAGGTGGGCAGGAAGAGGATGAGGGCCTCCTGCTCCAGATCTCGTCTGGCTGGGACCACTTGCACTGCCCGGCTCGCCTCAGCTCCCCACACACCACTGTATAGGGAATGCCAGGCCTGCTCCTGACAGTCAGCAAGGAAGGAAATCATGGACAGCGGGAACGGCCTCTTAAAGTTCAGTCATCCTGTGACATGCTACTACCTAACTGCACACAGTACCAGGGCTGGTTACGGAGTAGTTGGTGAGGTACCGGGAACTCCGGGGCCGCTCCCAAGCCCCCAGCAGCTGAGCACTCACATCTGTCTCTTCTCTGTCCAGTGTGGCCTAAGCATCCTCCATAGAGGGAGGAGAGGGGTGCATGCGATGATGTGTCAGGGTGATGCAGCTACCAGACCTATACAGCTAGCTGAGGTTATCGAGGGACAAGGGTGTGTGGGACGGGACAGGGTATTTGTGCTGGGGTATTGCTTGAGTAGTATGGATAAAGGACCGTGAACCCTGGTGTTTTGGGGCATCCATCTCATTTGTGAAGTAGTTTTTTTGTTTTTTTTGTACTGGGGATCAAACTCGGGACCTTGCTATTGCAAGGCAGGTGGCAAAAACCACAGAGCTAAATCCCCAGTCCCACCATCTCATTTGTAATGTGTCACTATATTCCTTACCTCACTTACCTGCCCCCAGCAGTGTGAGGCCATATTCCAATTTTCCCAAGTGAGAAGAGGGAGGCTCAGAGAGACTGAAGTGACTTTCCTCAGAAACACAACCAGGAAGGCTGGGGATTTAGCTCAGTGGCACCATGCCTGCCTTGCAAGTACAAGGTCCTGAGTTCCAGAGAGAGAGAGAGAGGGAGAGAAGAAGGAGAGAGAGGGAGAGAAAGACAGAGATGGAGGGAGGGAGAGAGAGAGAGAGGAGCACAGGAGTGCTGGTTGGGGCCCAGAAGCCAAGAAATGAGGGCTGAGGAGCAGGACTTTGCCCAGTGGATGGGGTGGGGTAGGAATCTGTCCCCAAGGGGGAGTGAGGAAAGGAGACCAGTGGAGAGCCGAGTCCCAGATTTTCCTACTTCGCCCACAGCTGGCTCTCTTGCTCTTTCCCTCTCTGGTCCCCACCTCCGTTCTGAGCATCTAAAAGGCCCTGTCCCTGGTGGTCCCTGGCCCAGCCAGCACTCACTGGTCTGTTGTTTCCACCCAAGGTCCAATCTCTATCCCTAACCATATGTGCCACCAGAGAGGAGTCCTGTTGCTCCCCCTTGCCTCAGTGTCCCAGGTGGATACAACATAAAACAATGCCGCCTCTCAGGACGATTAGGAGGACGCAAGAGAGAATGTGGGCAAAGCGCCTAGAAATGAGCCTGGCGCTTACACCCCTCTCATCCAGCTGGAGCGAGATGTAACTGAGCAAAAGCAGACCCTGAAGACGGCATGGCACCCAGATAATGCTGGGCACCAGCAGGAGGGCGTTCAGTCCTTGCTCAGTGGATCAAGAAAGGGTACTGTTCCTGCGGCACAGAAGGCCCTGGCCTGCGCCCAACGTAGCTCTGAAAGGACCACAGTCTTGGCTGCTGTTCTGCGGCTGTGTCTAACAAGGTAAAGGACTGGCAAGCTTGAAGGGGCAGCCGGGCTGACTGCG